TATTATTATTATTATTATTATTATTATTATTATTATTATTATTATTAATAATATTAACCTTCATTTAACAAGACAAATCTCATTCAGATCACAAATCTCTTTTGCAAGGGAGACCATGGGCCTGAAGGCAGCCTAACATGCAGGTTTTTGGCCTGTGAGAGGAATCCAGAACACCTGGAGAAAACCAACGCAAACACAACGTACGTAGAACATACCAACTCCACCCAGAAAGACCCCAGGTCCAAACTGGGAATTGAACCCAGGCCTTCTTGCTGTGAGGCAACAGTGCTAACCACTATTTCATCATGCTAATTTTTAGAACGCTCATGTGGTTTAGGCTATAGAAACTTACAGCTGTTATAAATTTTATTAAAGTTTTATTTATTTAACTTTATAATAAAGTATTTACAGTAGTCCCTCACTACTTTGCGGTTTGACTTTCGTGGACTCACTCTATCGAGGTTTGCGGACAAACAGTCTGTTCATATATTAGAGAAATTATTATTATTTTTTTTTTTACACATGATTGTGGATTGTACAGTAATATCACTTTACAGAACTCATGTGGACGTGAAAAAGTTAATGACAAAAAAATAATAATTCGGGTGCCGCCATTTTGTATTTTTCTTTCATTCACCCTCACATTGTACTTGTAATCGCCACTCAGACGGACTACACTGCCCTTAATTCATTGCTGTAGCACCTCGGGCCGCTGTTTTCTGCCAAACAGTATTTTTGCAAAGCAAAGTCATGACTGCTGAACTGGCCTTTCAAAAGTAAATTTTAATTCATGTTGCATGGAAGAGTTATTTATTTTTTCATTTTTTTAAAGAAAATTCAACTTTACAAACGTAAAATTCTCAATAAAGTGTAAATCATGTCAGGGCATCTATTTAAGTAATGGATCATTGCACTTAGTTACTGATCCAATCAGCGCCCGGGTTACTGTCAGCTCTGTTTTTAATGCGGATGAAACAGGCATGTTCTGGAAAAGGATGCCATCTCACACTTTTATTATGAAGGACGAAGCCAAAGCCCCTGGTTTCATCTCATCTTCATCACGTTCATCATCATCACTGAACAGCTAAATCTTCATCTCTATTTCATCTCTGGTGAGTACCCATTTAAAATTAATATATTTTTTTCAATAGTTTAAGAGTGTAGAAAATTGTTAGGAACATTGCAAGAGTGCAGGAAAGGTTTAAAACACCAATGCCTGTATATACAATGAACTACTACTTACTACTACTACAGTAAATACTAAAATAAACTACTACTTACTGCTGCTACTACTACTACTACTTGTGTACATAATTTTGTTCCATCTCAAGTATTACATGAGTTGGTAATGACAATAAAGTTTATTTGAACTTGAACTACTTTGTGGTTTTTCACTTATCGCGGGGGTGTGTGGTCTCTTAAACCCCGGAATAAATGAGGGATTATTGTACATTAAACATCAACTAAGACAATGAATATGTGTGTTTCAGAACTCATCAAAAGAACTAGTAAATATTTACAACGACTCACCGGAACTCCTTTTTCTCCCTTTGGGCCTGCTTCTCCAGATTCACCAGGTGATCCCTGCAAGAACAGAACTCAGATATTAAATGTTTAAAATCTATATTTGTTTTGTGGGCGAGTGACATTCTGTAGCAGGAACTGAGTATTTCTATAACGAAATGGATAATCCTTGTTGGAGTTACTTTATATGGAATAAATGTGGAAATACAGAGCTCATATTCTGACAGGAAGTTTCCTCTGAAGTACAGATACATCTGTGATAAAAGTGAATCCTTCAGATTTAAATGTTTTCTGTACCTTTTCTATTATTGTTAAAATTTTACTTTAAACTTTACACTGTGGTTGCTTACTTTGATATAAGGATAAAGACAGATCAATACTTAGTTCCCACTGTCCAACAAACATTTGTCCACTTACCGGCAGTCCTGGTGGGCCAATGGTCCCACGAGGCCCAATAGGACCAGGATGACCCTGAAATATGTTAAAGATATTATACTTTTACTCGTAAGATTTAATCCTTATCATTATGACATGTATATAACTCATTTCCTCTTTGTTCCCTACTTTTACTTAAAGCCACGTCGCTGTATGTTTTTTTTTTATCCAGTGCATCATATCCCAACATCAGGAAGCTCAAATAATAAAATATGTTATGTTTTGTTTGAGGATAGAAATTTTCAAACTTATTTAATAAAAGCAACAAGTGATGTGACAATATGAGGAATGTTGTCACAAACAGCCTACCTGCTCAACTAAACAATTATCAAATAAAATGTAGGTAAAGATTATCTTTATTTAGGTAAATAACTTCACCACGTCAGCCAATACATAACCGTTCATGCATCCATTCATTAGAAAACTAAACAAAGTAGATTTTTGTCTTCTGGTCTGACTTATACATGTTTTAAATTACTTTAATGACCTACCTGATACCCTTGGTCCCCTGGCTCTCCGCGCTCCCCACGCTCTCCTGGTGAACCCTGTGTAAACAAAAATGCAAACCCATGAACTCACTGTGCATGCATGCTATTTATGTCTCTAACTTTTACTGAGCTGCAGATTTATTAAAAAAATTTATCAGACAACCGTAATCCCCCACCTTCAACTCAACAAAGATCATGTCATTAACATGCTTTAAGTTTTCATAATTCTATAGATATATGGAAGAGTTCCATTTTGCACCACAAAGTTGGCTCTTTAGTCAGAGCTTTTCAGAGCTTGGAATCAAAACGCTTACAAATCATTTTACTGTTCTGCTGCCATCCCCCTGACTCAAATATGTCCTGATAATTATTAGATGTTACTTTAAGAATGATATATTTGTTTGGGTTGATATGACCCACATATTTTAACAATATAAGTGAAATTCTGGATTCCCGGGAGCTCTCACTTTTGTCAAAAGAAGAAAAGTTTCAATAAATTTACAAAAAAACCAAAAACACGTTTGTAATGAGAAAATATTTATGATCAAAATATTGTGTCTAGGAGATCACAAGAAAAACTTTTTAATAACCATGCTGAACATTTTGTTTAAAGCTTTCTGCAGCTAAATGAAAGTTGATGCTCCAGCATCAATGTGTGGCATGGATGCTGCACAACTGCAGAAAGAAAGGCTTTGCAAAAAGTGGTGAAGGCTGCACAGAAGTCTGTTGGAGTCAGTCTCCCCTCCATCACAGACATCTACACCTCCAGATGTAGGAAGAGGGCCACCTGCATCATGAAGGACCCCACTCACCCAGCACAAACACTTTTTGCCCCGTTCCCCTCAGGAAGGAGGTTGAGGAGCATTAAGTGCAGAACCACGAGACTGAAGAACAGCTTCTACCCTGAGGCTGTTAGACTCATGAATATGTAACCAGGATAATCACTGTGAAAAATCACATCATGTTGCTGCTGATCTGTTTCATGTTGCTGCTGATCTGTTTCATGCTGATGTGTTCATTCATACTCATCTGCTCACACAGACTCGTGTTCGTGCTGCTGTTTGGCATATTGTTTTTATGCTATTAGTACTTAGCATATTTTTAGTTTATGTTTTTCTTAGTTCATATCTTAAATTTTATTACTATTTTTATTTTACATTTTATTGTTGGATGTAACTGGGACCCTGTGTACATAATTTCATTCCACCACATGTACCACATGTGGTGGAACGACAATAAAGAAACTCTGACTCTGAAAAGTGATAACTAAATAATACTGCTGACATGCTGTATTTAAAGAAAATAAGCTGTATTTTCTTCTGTTGAGGCAAAACAAGATATTAATGCAAAACTTGGAGGTTTATTTGGACAAAAATTTGTCATCCAGCATGGACCTTGTATTGAAATGGTTTAAAGGGAACAAGGAGTGTTTAGAAAGCAGAGTTTAAAGGAAAGCAAGACCTACTGGTTCACCTAAGGGCCCTGGTGGTCCTGGAGTCGTATTGTCCTCGCCTGAAAAACCCTGGAATGCATAAAAAATCCTGCATAATCAAAAATGAATGGATATATGGTATGCAAACATTTGCAACAAGTAAATTTGGAGCCAAGTTAAAGTATGCAAATAGTTATATTTTATTTGCTATTTCAGGAGTTAAATTACCTTTTCACCTTTAGGCCCTGGTGGTCCGGCGGGCCCGGGCTTGCCAAGATGCCCCTCAAAAAAGAAGAAAGCTGATTATTGAACACAGTGAAACCAACAGCTCCACAATGTGAAGGATGACAGCATAAAACTGTTGATGTTTGATAAGAACAACATTTTATCTAAAGAGGTCTGTATGTTTTCTCAACATATAAATTGATCGAGTTATTTCTGTGTTGAGTTCCAAGCCCCCCACCCCTTCAAAAAACATAAAATTTTATTAGGAAAATCACAACATGTAACAGAGAATATTGGAGTGGTTGCAGCTGTCAATGATTTAAAGTTAGTGTTTAAAAATAAGAAACCGTCCAGATTAACTGACTGAACATTGTTGTATTTTTACCTGGAGTATTGAGCATGGACTTTGGTGTTAGTGTGTAAAACTTTACATCACATAAAAGAGCAGCTCTGTATTAAGCTCATGCAAGGTTACCCGGTGTATTTCCACACAAGTTCATCTCAAATTAATCCAGCTTTGAATAAACCCAACAATGGAGTAAACTGTGCAGATTTAGACTTAGGACTTAGAAAATCTCAAATTTATCCTTAAATAAAAGTATTATTTTATTAAATACATACATTATTTTTGTTGATTTTTTTTCTGTTATATGTATTCATTTGTGAATAGGTGTAAACCAAACCTTAGACATGAACCACTTACTGGGTATCCTGGCAGTCCTGGTTGCCCCTCTAACCCCATGACTCCTGGCTGACCCTGAAATTAATGCAGAAAATGCTTGCAAAAAGGTTTGGTTCAAAACAAACACACTTTAACACTGATAATCTATTTTGCTAAGACTATCACATTGGTTGTGTCGAGGAATACAGGAATCGATTCTACAGGAATATTTCCAGACAATATGAAAGTAGCTAAAGTAATTCCACTTTATAAAAAATGGAGACATGTAAATATGTCTTTACTAATTACAGACACATATCCTTGTTTTCACAGTTTACAAGAATTCTAGAGAAATTATTTTTAATCAGGTTAGATAAATTTGTTGATCGTAAGAATATCTTAAGTAAAAGTTGAACCAAATAACTAGACCTCAGTGGCACATATAGAATAAATTGAAGATATATCAACTGATTAAAATATATCACTGTGTTAGCATTTTTGTTGAGCTTAAGAATGTTTTTGACAGTAATGGTCATAAAAATCTAATTGAAAAGTTGAATAAATATGGCATTAGAGGGTTAGCTCTACAGTGGGTGTTTAGTTACCTGTAAAATAGAAAACATTTTTTACAGTTAAATAGTGTTAGGTCAGATTTATGTAATATAAGTTGTGGAGTTCTTCAGGGTTCTTTACTCGAGCCAAAACTGTTTATTTTGCATATGAATGACTTGGTCATGTGAGGATTTGTGTTCCCTAGTGTGTCTCCTCCTTGTGGTCTATCTCAGCTCCTCCCACCTATTCTTGATTGTCCTTTCCCCAGGTGTTTGTCATTGTCTGTTCATTAGCGTTTGCATCCCTGTGTTCCTCTTTGTCTGGCATTGTCTTGTATGGCGTTGTGTCCTGTCCTCCCTCTGTGTCTCCTAGGAAATGTAAGCTGTGCTGCCACATCAGTCTTTTGTTTTTCTTTTTCCAAGTAATAAATATTAATATTTAAATACCCTTTTGAGTTTCCCCGTGTCTGTCTGCACTTTGGGTTACAGATTAGCACCCTCTTCACCACAACAGACAGGTGAGAGTCACAGAGGCACAGAGTCCACAATATTGCAGACGCTGCACCAATCCATCTGTCAACCAATCCGTCTGTCAATCTCACGCTCGAAAATAAATGACTAACCTTACTAAACATAGAAAATCAGTTCAGAGTCAGTCAGAGTCAGAGAGTTCACACACTGAATCTTCATTCTTCCCTCAATCATGAACAAAACACTGAGATACTTGAACTCCTTCACTTGAGGCAGAACCTCACCCTTGACCCGAAGAGAGCAATCCATCTTTTCTTGTCTGAGGACCATGCCCTCAGATTTAGAGTTTCTGATCCTCATCCCAGCCACTCCAAACTTGTCTGTGAACCACTCCAGTGAGAGCTAGAGATCATGTAACAATGACGCCAACAGAACCACATGATCCGCAAATGGCAGAGAAGGAATCCTGAGTCCACCGAACTGAACTCCTTCCATCCTCGGACTGCACCGAGAAATTTTGTCCATAAAAGTTATGAACAGAATTGGTGACAACAAGCAACCCTGGTGGAGTCCTACTCCCACCCTGAAGAAGTCCAGCTTACTACCGGCAATGCAAACCAAACTCTTGCCCTGTTTGTATAGGGACTGAACAGCCCATACCAACGGGCCTCCAATACCATACTCATGGAGCACCCCCACACAGTATACCTCAAGGAACACAATTAAAATCCTTCTCCAAGTCCACAAAACACATGTAGACTGGATGGGCAAACTTCCATGACCTCTTGAGGACCCTAGTGAGGTTAAAGAGCTGATCAAGATTTTCACAGCCAGAACAGAACCTGCATTGCTTCTCCTGGATCTGCGGTTCGACCAGCAATAGGACTTGCTTCTCCAGTACCCATGAATAGACCTTACCAGGAAAGCTAAGGAGAGTGATGTCCCTAAAATTGGAGCACACCTTCCGGTCCCCCTTTTTAAAAAGGGGAATTATCACCCCAGTCTTCCAATCCAGTGGCACTTCCCCTGATGTCCACACAATGTTGCAAAGTAGTGTCAACCAAGATAGCCCCACAACAACCAGAGCCTTAAAAAAATCAGTGCAAATCTCATCTACCCCCGGAGCTCTACCGCCATGGAAGACATGCCAGTGAGACTGAAAAGGTTCAAGAAGTATTCCTTCCAACTCCCAATGACATCAATCGTTGAGATCAAAAGCACTCCACCTTCACTGCACACAGTGTTATTAAAGCACTGCTTTCCCCTCCTCAGTTGCATGATGGTTTGTCAGAATTTTCTCTGAGCTGATTGAGAGTCTTTATCCAAAGCCTCATCTGACTCATCACACATCCGAGCTTTTGCCTCAGCAACAGCCAAGGCTGCAGACCACTTGGCCCTCCGGTATTCCTCAGCTGCCTCTGGAGTCCCACCAGCCAACAAGGCCCGATTGGACTCCTTCTTCAGCTTGACAGCCTCCCTAACCTGGGGTGTTCACCACGAGTTTGAGGATGGCCACCACGAGAAACACTGACAATCTTATGGCCACAGCTCAAGGAAGCTACCTCCACAATTGAGGTGTGGAACATGGCTCACTTGGACTCAATGTCCCCCGCTTCAGCTGGGATGTGGTTAAAGCTCTCCCTGAGGTATGAGTTTAAGGTCTACCTGACAGGTTCTTCTGCCAGGCATTCCCAGCAAACCCTCAATACACGTTTAGGCTCATCGGGTCTGTCTGGCATCTTCCGCCTCCATCTGACCCTGATTACTACCAGGTGGCGATCAGTTGGCAGCTCATCTCCTCTCTTCACCCGAGTGTTCAAAAAACGTCAGCAAATCAGATGACATGACTACAAAGTCAATCATCGATCTACAACCTAGGGTGTCCTGGTGCCAAGCATGGACATGCTTATGTTTGAACATGGTGTTTGTGATGGACAAACTATGACTAGCATAGAAGTCCAACAACAGAACACCGCTTGGGTTCAGATCAGAGAGGCTGTTCCTCCTAATCACGCCCCTCCACGTCACACTGACATTACCCACATGAGCACTGAAGTCCCCAAGCAGAACAAAAGAGTTCCCAGCTGGAGCACCTTCCAGCACTCCTGCCAAGGACTCAAAGAAGGCCGGATACTCTGAACTGCCATTTGGCGCGTAGGCGCAAACAATAGTCAGAGCTTTGTTCAGGCTTGAGTCTATAAAGTGTGGTATTAATGATGTAATATATTTTTATTATTATTTTATTTCTTGAAGATAAGGGGCAGATGTGAGAAGATGTTTTTGAGATGTACTCTGGGGTTTTTGTTAATGAAAAACATGCCCAAAAAAAGACACTCCAACCATGACTTTGACTACTTCATAAACTAAAGGCTCTAAACATGATTTCTTCTTTTTAAAGTAGTCTGATTCTAAAGCAGGTTAAAGTGAGACGAAAGACAGGAAGAGTTTGAACTAACAGTTGGGCCTCGAGTTCCTCTGGCACCTTTCAGCCCTGGCTCGCCTTGTTGACCAATGTCTCCCCGAGAACCGATCTCACCAGCTAGACCTGGAGGACCTTTTTCTCCCTGTAAATAATCAAAAGCTCAGGTAAAATCAGAAAAAGTGATGTTGACTCAAAGTTATTGGGCAACGTTAAATAAAAAACAGACAAACATTAGAGCTCCTTCAAAAGAAAACATATAAATATTGTATGGTCAAAGACGGCTCTCACCTTCTTCCCGTGCCGACCTCTGTTCCCTGGAGGACCCAGTTTTCCTTCTGGTCCCTTTGAAAAGAGATTAATTTATTACCAGTAATAGTAATAGTCAAATGACTTGTTAAACTGAAGTCTGATTTATACTGAGAACTCTCATTCAAGAGTGTTTAAACCACAGGTGGTGTTTGTGTGGGGGTTCCAATTTTGAGAAGACACAGTTATCTTATTTAATTTGTTTCATTTTCTGTCAACTGTGGATCTTTCAAAAAACTTACACGAAACCCTTGTTTCCCAGGAATTCCAGTTGGTCCTTGGAGCCCAGGTTCTCCTTCTAGCCCCTTTTCTCCTTGCTCCCCAATGGGCCCCTGCTCACCAGACTCCCCCTGACAGTGTAAGAGAAAAAAGGAAACACAGTCAAATTGACGGATATGATAGTCTGCTGCTTCTAGGTCAACAAAAAGTCTTTAAAAATTACAAATATATTGGTTTAATTAATTTATTTTTAAAACTTTACGTTATGCAATTATATAGAGTGAAATTGACTGGCTTTAATAAATAATCTGTATGCCTTCAACTATTTTTCTATTAAATCTTAAACAATTCAACTTGAAAACTTTAAAATTCTAAACAAACCAAATATGTTTTATAGTACTCATGAAACTCTTTGGATAAAAATGGACTGTTAGAACCCTAAGTGTTTTTACCTTTGGTCCATATTTCCCTTGAGGGCCGTCTTCACCTGGAGGTCCAGGAGGACCCTGAGAAGAGACAACAAATTACAACAAATTGTTTTTATTATTGAAAACAGAGTTTGTTCCTGGAAAGAGCTATTGTATCACTGACTACTGACTCTATATTATATGAAAAGAAAAAAATTGGACTTTATTTTTTACTAAATTGTATGTCATATCTATTTGGATTACCAATACTTTGCTTAGCCAGTATCTTGCTGTTATGCCAAAAATGTGAACAGCATTCACTCAGGCATTTCCAAAACGTTTGAAAATGCCCATGAGTGTTCTCAATCTTCTCATGCTAGTAGGTCCTTCAGCTTTGCAGGAAGTTTCCTCCTTAACTCTTCCATTGATATCCGTAATATTCAGGACAGGTAAAATGTGAGCGGAGTTGTGCATCTAAATAAAGTGCAAGGTTTAGAACACAGTTTTTTAAGCTGATGTGAGTTTCTAAAGTTAGCTGCAAACAGGTTGTTGCATGGCATGCTGGTGGCTTGGTTATGAGCAGAATTTAATGAGACTGCAACTAAACATTTGTCTATTTCTCAAAATAGTTTTGTTATTGTCAGTTGCCAACTTGTCACACAGTCACAACCAAGTGAGATACTGGCTGTAACAAATAAACCAATAAATTACTTATGATACTTGACACCATAGAAGAGTTAATGAATCTTCAAAAGGAGTAAACATGAACATTTTGAAATAGAGCAACTAAAACAAGGCTGAAGAGTGTATAACATGCCTACAATTTAAAGTTAAATATTCTAAACAGTTCTAATGTTTTATTTACAGATATAGTACTTAATGTGTACTTGTGTAAATTAAACAATAAAGCCATAAATGTGTGGTGCTGATTGTTGTTTATCATCATTTTACATTTTTGTGTGGAATAAAAACAAAAACTAGCTGAGAGCTCAAAAGAAGATTTCTGCAAGTTTCATTAAATTGTGTCTAATACTTTTTAGGGCTTTTGGAAGATCGTTATGATTAAGACTTACACAAGTTGTGGAAAATAGATAATTAAAATTTTCAAATGCAAGGAGCAAAGCAGCCAGATTCTTTTTCAGAGAGGGCTAAATGCCCACTTCCTACTGACAGGGCTGCTGCATGATGAGCCTTTAAGTTTTGTTACACAGAACAAATGAATGCCAAAATATAAAATGTTGACTGAAGAAGCAATAAACGCCAAATTTAGGACATAGGTATTTGAAAATCTGGACACATTTAAGACTCTTTAAGGCTTCAAATATACATTAATAAACTTAAAATTGTCTTTTAATGATCTCACAGAAACTCTGCAAAAGACACTTATCTAAATTTTAGGCTAATGACATCAACAGTGAGCTTTGAGAAAATGTCTAACCAAATAGGAGGAAAGATCCTTCATTCTTGTACACCAAACTAGTAGAGTGACCCCTGCTGGTTTTTGAAAAAGATGCAGGTTCAAGGGTTGGTGCTTAGCAGACTTTTCTTTATTGCTCACTGATAACGCCACAAAGATGCTACTGAACCCTGAGTGAGAATCCCAAATAAGCTTGAAAAGAGCATCACACTAAAGCCACGTATACACAAATATTATCAATATTTCCCACAATAAGGCCTTTCTCCAGACTAGCTAAACATCCACTGTGGTGCTGGGAATCTCTTAAAGGCCAGCACTCCGTGTACACGCCTGTTGGTGAAATGGTATGAGTGTTTAATGTCATGTCTTTAAGTTGTATTTTATAATGCATACATTTCTGTGGTTTGTTTTCACTTCTTTTGAACGAGTTGCATTGCAATGATGGTCATATATCTGGCATTGTTAGTAGGCCTTCTTAACATTACTAACAAGAACAATTGGGTGGTCTAATCACCAACAGGTGTGCATATGACATGTTGGTCATTATTATAAAAGACCCCAGAAAGTGTTTGATTTATCTTGAAAATACAGCTAAAGGCTAAAATGATAACACAATGAGGTTGTTGGTTTTTACATATGGAGATAGAGTGAAATGCACATTTCAATTCAGTCTATGATCATCCCTTACACAGCAAAATGATTGTGTGACTTGTTCAAAAACAAATATAGTTTTAAAGATTCATGGGATAACATTTTTGGCAACATCAGAATGATGGAAGTAACAATTCAACTGGATTAAGTTTATCCAAATACATTGATGGGCAAGACTTGAGGATAATTTGCAGTTACTCACTCTGGTTCCCTCCTGACCCTGTTCCCCATCAGCTCCTGGAGGTCCAATATCACCCTATAATGAAACAGAACACAACACATGGCTATCTGGATGTCAAACCAATCTATCTATATGTGTCAGCCATCTTACAGTGACCAACGATGTAGCTATTTCACTGCAGGTATGTCAGGTATAAACAAGGAGTTTCACATAATTGTCATGTGACATAAGCAGAAGCTTCTCAGACTCCAACAAAGTCACACTGACCTTTAATCCTGGCTCTCCATATGCACCTGGTTCCCCCTCAACACCTGGAGCACCCTACAAAAATTAGACATGGACATCAAGGAGGAAACTTGAACCGTTTCCAGTCTATACAAGCACAGTAGTAATGCCTCTAAAACGTATTTTAAAAAAATGTGCCGACAATTCTGAATATTTAAAGTAAAGTACTTCAAGTCCTTGCTCTCCAGTGGTTCCAGACTCTCCAGGGGATCCTTTAGGTCCCTAGAAATATACACATAAACACAATTAGCACAATGAAGATTTGCTGAAAGCAAAACTTTGATTTTTCCTAATAAAGTTGACACATCAAAACAAGAAAAAAACATCTGACAAAAAAAACTTAAGCTCTAAGATAAAAAAAAAGAAACTGAAAAGCAGCCAAACACAAGATGAGACTCATAACACGAGCAAGGCCTCTAGCTTTATTTAATACTCCCAGCCTAATAAATACCTGTATCTGATTGTTTGACAGCTTTTATGTCCCCAGGGAACTGGTAGATTTCCAGGAAAATTAAGAGTTTAAAGACCAATCCCAGAGAGGTATAGAGCATTCAGGTGTGAAGAAGTAGGGAAGCAGTAAGTGATGAAGCAATTAGTCACCACTCGTTTCTTTCAAACAGTTTAGGTTTTGGTTATGAGTCACACTGGATATTCTCAAGTGCTTCTTAAATACTTCCAACACTACAAGCATTTTGTTGTTGTAAACCGTTGTAAGCAACTATCACCCTTGTATTTTCTCCACAGTCATGACATATCATAGAGAAGACAGTTTTTAGAGAGTGAAGTTAGATTTTAATTTCCTAAAATAAAACAACAATGTCAAAATCAAGTGTTTACTTACTGGTTCACCATGGTGGCCCCTCTCCCCAGTGCTCCCTGGAATACCTGCCTTACCCTGAAAGCACAGTCATGTGGAGTTGTGGTTCATTAATTCATAGAATGTTGCTAAACAAGGATAAAACACACTAAATTTGATTATAACAATTGTCAACATCCCCAGTGTGACCACATACACCATAGGAAATAACATTATTGAAATGGTTTCTGACACCAGCAGGCTTTTACAGCAGGACAGATAGATGTTTTTTTTAGGCAGTGGCTTCAGTTTGTTGTTGCCCAAACTGAATTTTAAGTTTAAACAAAACATTTTAATTTGAAACAGAGTTCAGTCCAATAGTTTGGGGAAACTTCTGAGTATGCATGATAGACACAAGCATTTAAATAGCAACATCCACCCATCCATCATCTTCTGCTTGTTCTGGAATTGGATTGCGGAACAGCAGCTTGATCAGGGAAGCCCAGACATCTCTTTCCCCAGCCTCCTCTTCCAGTTCCTTTAGGAAGATTTTTATGTATTCCCAGGCCAGCCAAGAGACAAAGAGACATAGTCACTTCAGCGCGACTTGGGTCTTCCCTTAGGTCTCTTCCCAGTTGGCCATGCCTGGTCTCTCCTGGATAACTGAACTTCTCACCCTATCACCAAGGGTGTGTGTAGCTAAGCAGTGGAGAAACTAATTTAAACCGTTTGTATTTATAGTCTTGTAATTTTGGTCACTATCCAAAATTGTGACAGAGTTTGCAGTACTAAGGAAGCTGCACCAATCTGTGTCAGTCATACAATCATTCTTCCCTCACTCATGAACAAATCCCTGAGATACCTGAACTTCTCCACTTGAAGCAGAATCTCACTCCCACTCCACAGTATTTTGACTGAGGACCATCACCTCAGAACTGGAGGTGCTGATCCTCATCTCACTCACTTTGCACTCTGCTGTGAAGCACTTCAGAGAGCTGGAAATCATGACAAAATGATGCCAACAGGACTACATCATCTGCAAATAGCAGAGATGGAATCCTGAGGCCACAGAACTGGACTCCCTCCTTCATCTAGCAACACCAAAAAACTAAATCCATAAAAGTTATGAATAGAATTGGTGACAATGGGCAGCACTGGTAGAATCCAACACAAACCCCGAAGGGGTCTGACATACCCTCGGCAATGTGAACTAAACTCTTGCACTGCTTGTATAGAAATCGAATGGCCTGTAGCAACGGATGCCAATCTCACGGAGAACCCCGCACAATGCACCTTGAGGAACACTGTTGTGTGCCTTCTCCGAGTCCGCAAAACATGTAGACTGGTTTGGCAAACACCTATACCCCCTCAAGGACCCTAATGAGGGTAAAGAGTTTGCCCATTGTTCCACAGTTAGGATTATGAGATTCCACCATCTACTGGACTTGCTTCTCCAGTACATCCAAGTAGACCTTACTGGGGAGGCTAAGGAGAGTGATGTCCCTATAAATGGAACATGCCTTCTGTCCCCCTTTTTGAAGAGGGGGACCATCATCCTAGTCTGCCAATCCAGTGGAACTGTCCTGGATGTCTGCATGATGTTGCAAAGGTGTATCAGCCAAGACAAGCCAGTAGTGTTTAGAGCTCAGAAGTACTCAGAGTGGATCTCAACCACACCTGGAGCCCCGCCACCTTGGAGCTTCTCAACTACCATTATGATCTCAAACCTGGTTATGGATGGACTAACCCCCCAAGTTCCCTGACTCAACTTATTCCATGGAATATGTACTTCTCGGATTGAGAAGGTCTGAGTTTGTTTTGTTGATATTTTCATGGCATTTTTGTAAAATATATTTTGAATGTTAATTTTGAAAGACCATTAAAAAAAACGGATAAAAATGTATCACTAATGCCTGTGCAGATTTTTTTTGATTGGCTTCTAAATAAAAAAAACTATTTTTATTAGCTGGATGCAATTTTTTGCAGTGAAAGATCAACAGAGGTCCAAATCGATAAACATTAGCAAATACAGCCAAATATAGCAAATATAGCTGCACTATAAAAACATTGTTTATCTATAAGTTAAGACTTTTTTATGTAATGGAAAAAAAGGCAGCACCTCTCATGAGGCTGCAGCCTCAGGCACCCCCGTCTTCCCATGTACGTATAGTGTTTGGCTGTTTGTGTTTCTTGGACGGGCTGTACAGAAATGTAATTTTGTTGTGCTTTGGTGCAATGACAAAAAAATCTGATTCTGACTTTTATGTATTTATTTTTCTTTGTCTCCTGTGGCTTAAAAATGTACACTGTTTAGCTGAAGTCAGCAGACGTTGTCTTAAAAAAAAAAATCTTACTCTTCAGATTCTCATGTAATAATTTCACAGTTGCTTTTCTAGCTAAGACCAGACATACAAGTTAGCTTGTTTTTTTAGTTGGTCTGCAAAGGGGCAGATTTTAACCAATACTGGACAGACACTTATAGTTAAAAATTTTAAATAAGTCTGATTCTCAATTATTTATCATCTTTCAGTCAAACCCTTTATATTCACATACTTCTACCTCTTTGAGAATGTTTTATTGATAGCAATATGATAATGATGATTTGTCCTGATACATGCTCAATAATCCAGATAGATAAACCTAACAAGGTTAAGTCAGGTCCTCTGGATGGATTCTTCTTAAGACTGAAGAAGTCTTTTGGAAAAAAGATGAAATGTTTCAACAAAGAAGAATTCATCCAGAGGACCTGACGTAATCTTGTTAGATAATGTTGATTCTTAGCTCTCTGGTGCTTTCCTTCTTTTCTATGACAAGTAAACCAATGATTAGACCGCACCTTAACACATGTTATTACAACCTAAAGATGGCTTCCATCCCTTTCATCATCTCTTTGGACAGGATATGACAAAAACATATCTTTTGAACATAGGAGATGACACCTGGACACAAAACTGTTCATCAGAGTAAAAGTCCCATTAAAGTTGAGTCTTTAAAAATCAATCAACCTTTATTTATACAGGTAAATCCCATTGAGCCTCAAGGAATGTCAACTTGTTGGACAAATGTCTGTAATTTTCATGTTGTTTGAAATATTTATCCTTTAATTATAAACTTAAATTAAAGCTTTTATATTTACCAACTATGCCTGAATAGCTCTATAAAAATGTTTACTTTGTGTGCAAACTTAAAAAAACAACAAAAAAAACAATCAACAATAAGTCATAAACTGAACTGTATTGATTAAGTTGCACATTTGGATAATGGAGCAACAGATGCAGAAGTATTAGTAATTAAATGGAAAATACCAGTATTTGCATAGTACTAATAAACATTTTAGCATAACTATTCATAATATGTCCTAAATCAACAACTGCTATTATACAATTTCTATAAGCACATGTGTCCCAAGCTGCAAAGACCTTTAAAGACTTAAGCTAGCAAAAATAACTGAAAGGTAAGCAAAAAGGTCATATGGTATGCAAAGTGTAAAAAATAGTCAAACGTGCTTTTTCATCTTCAGCAAAAAAAAAAAAAAAAAAAAAAATCAGAACCCAGATGTAATGATGTTTGCAGGAAATGTTATCACACACAAGATGGCGCTGTGACTTCAGAGGCAGACGTAAGGCTGTAATGAGAAAGTGGTTTCTGATTGTGGATGAGCTATGTAGAGATGTAGATGTTTGTTATTGAACAAAGATCAGCAGCAGTAGTTCAACAGTTACTCCAAAAATAAATGCTAGTAGAATGTAGTAATGTATCCTAATCTAAAACAGAATATTTTAATCACACGCAGATTGAAATGAGGACAGAAGAACATAGACAGAGTGTGCATGGGTGGCCTTCGAGAAGCAACAGATTTAAACAAAAAAATATTTGTGGATACATAATTAGTGAAACTAGAAGGAAGCAGTTTAATCATTTGAAAGTCAAGCAACAAATTCAGCATTACCTAAACATTCAGATGATAGTATATCTGGTCATTAAACGTAGAAACAAACGGCACTGTGAATAATCTACTGTTGATAAACCATAGTTTTCATCACTTGGACGACACATGTGGCTCTGTTTCTGGTTTGCTGTTTGATGTTTGTTTGAATTCTTCTACCATCTGTAGAGAATTGGTTGTTTTATCCTTCTTCAACAAAAAGTATATGGAAACTATATTCCAAACTTGCATTTAATGTAAAAACAGCTAAACAAAGGGTTCATTAGAACACAGCCCTTCAAAGCTGCATAAACATCTGCCTAAAATGTGACACCGAAACAGTCAGTGATTTAAAAAAAATAAAAATGCCTTGAGTAGTAGTGCTATTATTTGTCTAAATATGGAGTGTACTTATATACCGCTTTTCTATCATATCAAGACACTCACAGCACTTTACACTACAACACCCAACATTTCTTCCCTTTTTCACATTATAAAAAGCCTGACTAATTATTTTGCTAGCTAGTTTAAATCATTATACGGTCAGTAATTTTATATTGTTTTGAAAAAGACACAAATAAGAGGTGTTGTTAAGCTCTGAAGCAGCACCAAATTATCCTAATAAACACACATACAAAGAAATAAACTAATGGGAGCACACTTAAAATTATTTAATGTGGATCATACATGGTGTGTGGGGGGGGGGGGGGGGGGGATATGTGCATGCATTTTATGAGCCTCCAGCATGTATCCATCCATGCATACATAGATTATTACCCACTTCTTCCTTTTTGAGTCACAAGGATCACTGGTGCCCATATCCAGCAGTCACTATGCAAAAGGCGGAGGACACCCTGAACAGGTCTCCAGTCCATCACAGAGCAGCATAGACAAATGAGACAAACAATCATCCACTCTCTCACTCACACCTAGAAACAATTTTTACCAATCAGCCTAACATTCATGTCTCTGGTCTGTGGGAGGAAAGCGGAGCACCAGGAGAAAACTCACGCATGTACGGAAAGAACATTCAAACTCCACCCAGGAAGGACCCCTGGCCAGAATTCAATTTGGCGGCCTTCTCACTGGGAGGCGGCAGCTCTACCAACTGCACCACTTTGCGGCCACTGCACTTATATCATGTTGAAATTATAAACAGTGACCTGAAAAAAGTATTTAGCTGAATAAAACTACAAGATATGCATCACTCACAGGTTTTCCAGGAGGGCCTCTCTCTCCTGTACCACCAGCCTTGCCCTATAAAGAGAAAAATCAAATTTTAAAATATTAAAATTCTAGGACCTATTGTAATCTTTAAGTTAAGGTTACACAGTTCCTCCAAGACAAAAACATATTGCCAGTTTTATACAAGTAGAGAACAATCAATAAAGCAGTCCAAGGAGGAAAGATGTTTAAAGCAGGACTTGATAATCATACACCTCTTTGTTGGATTTTCTGGTTTACTGGTGTAAGACACGCAAGGTATAACACAAACATAACTAGTATTTAAGAATAAAAACAGTTTACTTTCATAATCCATTAACTTAGACTCACATATTAAAATGTGACCACAGTAATTAAGAATATAATTTGGGTAAAGCTAGACACAAGGAAAAAAAAAATGAAACAACTCCTTTCTGCAAATAAAAAATCTGATTAAAGACTTTACAGTCTCTAAAAGGGCCAAAAAGTTAGAAATGTTGTTGGAAAATACATCTGGTAACAGTGAGTTTTACAAAAAGTGAATGTGCATCTTCAAAAAGCACATGTTAACATAACACAGCTGCATGATGCTTCTCTGAACTGTAATGATTTCTGGCAATGGATAAATAGAGAAGATAAATCTGCCTTCCTATTTATGAAGAAGCCAAAATTTATATATATATATATATATA